TTTCAAGGGGTATATTTTCACAAGATCTAGTATTTACAAGCTTAACATCACAATTTTTTCAGTGTTTTAGAGAAATGGAAGACATAGAAAATTATAATGCTAAGTGCCTTAAGAATTATTTGAAGTCTCCTTTTGTTACCTTAGGATTATACCTGCACTATCTATCCATTGGGATTAAAAAGCAGTAATTAATATTCACTGTCCTGTGATGATTTTAGAAATGCAATATACCTGAATCTACTATTCATTCTTATACTGGGTTGGTCTTCTTTCTTTTGTTGCATCCTTCCAGTCACTTCTGTGCTCCATCTTTGGTCAAGTAAAATTTTATTTCCTTGCAAATTACAAAATGTTCCATGGTATTGGGTTATATTGAAAATGTCTTAAAATATTGAAAGCAATGCTTTTACATGTATAGAGGATATATAGATACTATAGATGGGATTTGTTCCATTTTATAAATTGATTTTTAAAATGTACAGCCACATATTGCATTTTATATGTTAATGAAAAATGTTCAGCAAATATTGAATATGGAAGAAGAAATATTATCCTTTTTAAAATAATGTTATCTGCTTATCCTTTGGCTGTAATGTAGCTGGCACACTGCATTTGGGACTGTCTGTGTGTGTTTCTTAAAATGTCATCTTTATTAGTATTACATTCAAGGAATAGTAGCAAGAATCCGTTTCTTTCAAGACCTTCCTCCAGTGTGTGGCATATAAGTCTGTGACGAGCGACATTACAGAAGGTCATGTCACTTTTAACTGCTTGCATTACATCTTTCTGATTTCCCTAGTGTCCTTCCTTTGTTTGATTAATACTACTTGCTTTCAAGTAAGGTATCAGAAAGTGTAATTTGGAAAAAGAATTCTGGAGCCAACCTGAAAGATCTTCTCTTAAGAAAGAAAAAAAAAGAAACTTTGTAAATGTATCTTTTCTAACATGCATTTATGTCACTCTTTTCCTTTTTTTCCCTTTAAGGAAGGGTGTGTGTGTGTGTGTGTGTGTGTGTGTGTGTGTGTGTGTGTGTGTGTGTGTGTGTGTGTGTGTGTGTGTGTGTGTGTGTGTGTGTGTGTGTGTGTGTGTGTGTGTGTGTGTGTGTGTGTGTGTGTGTGTGTGTTATTGCTGACAAATGTTTGGGCAACTGGACTTTGAATACCTGAAAACAAAACTGTTGTGCTTATTTGGATTTATTTGAAGAGGAAAGGGCTGGAATTTGACACTAGGACTCCTGTATTTTATTTGTTTTCTTTAGTTAAGTGTTAAACTCCACCCGTCTACTTTTAAATAGCAGGTGTTGTTTGAGTTCTCTGGGAAAGGTTGCAATTTTGTGCAGTCATTAAATGCACTTCAGTGATATATGTGGTTTGTTTTTAAAAGCTCAGTTTGCAGTTTGAGTTCATTGAGTCTGGCTGAAGCTTGTGTCTAAAAGCACAGCTCAGCTTCTAACACAATCCTGTCTTCAGAGCCATTCATTTCACTGGACCACTAAAGCCTGAAGACTAATTGTGAAAGCATCACCATTTTAATTTAAAGTCCTTATGCACATCTGTTACTACACTTCTATGTGTTTCTTAGTGTCAGTGAAAGCATGAATCAGAATTTTGTGTGCCATTAAGAACATAGAGTATTTGGTCCAAGGAAAAAAGACACAATTTAATTTCCAAAAATTAATGTTGAATGCTCTACTGATGTTCTTTTTTATTACAAGACAACATTTTTGAGAACTTAGTTGGATACAAGAACTATGCTAAGCACTTTATATACATGCTCTTATTGGATCCTTAATCAGTACTATGAGATATAAGGGCTATTATCATCTCCATTTTCCATGGCACCTTAAGCTTCACCTGAACAAAATGTAATAGCACAGATACATTGCAGAGCAGTATGGAGGCACCAGGAAGAAACCATCTGTATTATAAATCCTCACTTGTAGATGTTTATGATGTAACATTAAAAAGCCACTAGAGAAAGGAAAAGCCCTCACTAGAGCGCTAACACACAACACAGCGGCCCTCACTAACACAACACTTTGCTGCCAAATGTAAAAGCAAATGGTTGTATTGGGTGGTTCTGGCTGCACATTTGTGGAGTAATTGTGCGTAGCCAATTGCCCACTTGAGTAGGGTAAGAACAGTTTGGGTTTTTCAAATGAAGAGCCTGATTTTATAGACTTCTTTGAGTCATACTTGAACATAAGATTCACAGATGATTTGTAGGATGTGTAGATGAACATAGTGCTTTCTCTTTTCTTTTCCTTTCTGTGTGTTTGCCTGTGTGTGTGTGTTGTGTGTGTACATGCCAGTACCGTGGCTTGAACTGAGTTCCTGCATACTGACTCTACAATTTTGCTGAAGGCTAGAAGTCTATCACTTGAGCCACAGCTCCACTTCACCCTTTTTGGTGGCTAGTTGTCAATAAGAGTCTCAAGGACTTTTCTATCTGGGCTGGATTCAGTCCCTGGTCCTCAGGTACCTAAGTTCTCAGTCTCCTGAGCAGCTCACAGGTGCGAGCCACTAGTGCCCAGCAATGTAGTATTTGCTTTTATGGTTGAAATTAATTTTATAAATTCCTAAATCTTAAAGATTAAATATTCCCAGGCTCCTTTCCAGGCTAATGTTTAAGGGCATTTTGAATACTTGCCTTTATTAATCTGTGCCATTGACTAGGTGTAAATCTTTTCATAGAATCTGAGTCAGGTCTATGGAATAAAGAAGAGGCACTAAAAGATTGTGTTCAAGCATATGAAGAATAGGAGCATTTGCCTACAATTAGTGTTTAGGAAGCTGAGACATGAGAAGTGTGAGTTCAAGACCAGTCTGGGCTTTCACAGAAAGACCCTGTCTCAATAAAACAAATAGAAAGATACAAAGGATAGATAATACATGTATCTATTCAACAAAAAATTTTTTTTCTTGAACTCTTGCTATGTATCTAGCAATCTTCTAGGCACAACCTGATGCCATAGTGCCTTTTTAACACAATACAATGGTATGCCATGGACAGGAAATTTATAATACATTTTTAGTGACAACTACCTTCAATGTGGTTTTAGTTTATTCATGCGAATAAAAGTGTAATATTTCATTTTCATTGACATACTTGGTATGAATGCATAGGGAGTTTTAGCAAAAAATACTATATAACTGAAATTTTGAATGATTTAAAATAATCATTTAAAAGTCTTCATAAGGTTGGGGGAATCGCTTTGATGCATTCCAATGTATTGAAACATTGTGGCTGATTTCCTTTTTAAAACTCTGTCATAAATAGTCCCATTTGGAATAGCCTGTGATAGCACAGCAATGAAACTTTGTCATTATGGTTTTGTGCGTATCTGTAGTATGATGCTTCAAGTTGGAGAAAACTGGATGTCAACACAAAGGCTTACCTGAGAGTCCCTCTTCACCTTCTGGAGAGTTGATATGAGTATCCATGAAGTACTTCAGTGATAATCATCTTAGAATTCCCACATTGCCTAGTATTGTGTGCCTTGGACAAGGGAATTTATTAGTGATTGTGGAGTAGCTGAATATAGTTAGAGAAAATATTAAGAGTTGTTCTTGTTAGGTTGAATTTCTGTATGTAGAGTAGTATAAATTATGTTAAGTTAATTGGAAACTAGATATTATGTTACTGGTATTTTTTTTTTCAAATGCTGAGTGTCCTAGTGAAAGGCCTTAAACTTCTATCATTTACTAGAACATGGAAAATGTGACATTAACTTAGAAATGATTTCACACATTTCACATGCCTTTGATTATATATTGGTTCATGTGACCTCGAAGTTTATATTAGGTTTATGTTTAAATCATATAAAGCTTTTAGAATATTTTAACTTGTAACTGAAAATCCTAACATACTGTATCAGTTTACACAATTCATGGCACAATATATTCAAGTTTTTACTTATAGGTTATTCCTGTTTATATTCAGGAGACACATAAAAGGGCTAAAGTATCCCTAAAGTTGTGAGCTTTGAGGGGATTCAAGCTATTTGATCACCATGGTTCTACTGAGTCTGCTTAGAGATATTCAGACTGAATTTAAAAAAGGCATACGCATTTACAAATTATATTAATATAAATGTAGTAAATGAGGACAAACCTAAATGACAAGCCCTCACCTTGGTTTTATTTTTACATTTGATTTTCAAGGGATGCAATTTTTGTGCCTGTAACAATTAAAAATACCCCATCTGAACTGAATTTCGATTCTTAATGCTTGAGGTAAAGCAGTATTACCTGGCAAATCCAAAATCATTAGCCCATTCCATTTATTACCTAATTCTAGGTAAACTAGAATATATTAAAAACATGCATGGCATATCCATGTACATAGAGCTCATATATGTGATATATATATGATTTTAGAATTCATTTTATTAACGATATCCATTCTCATAATCCTTATGTGAAAATCACAGCAAATTAAAATGAGTTTCAGGTAATCTACAAAATTCCAAAAATACAAAAATAGTCAAGTTGATTTTTATTCATAAAAATTAAAATTTGAGCCATGAAAGATGTGTTAATTTTGTGACATAGGCCAACAGAATGAATCAATTAAGAATGATAGCTTTTTTTAAAAAAAAATCCTTAGCGTCTAGAAAAAAAGTAAATTAGAAATAACAGAGCTGTTTCATGCTTCGTTATTTAACTCTAAATTTAGAGTGCATGATTCATTTAGACAGCAGCATAGGAAATTTCCTGATTTACAGGATTCCTAAATGAATGTTTACCTTACACATATTTCAAATTCTTTGCCACAAAACAGTTCTCATGTATGAGATTCCTTAATGGGGCTTCAGTTGCCTAATGTTTAATCAGTTAAAAGCAGAATCTTGTCCTGATCCTCATTCCTAGATCAAACATCCTCTCCCAGTGCAGGCATTTCAAATGTTAATAAAGTTTTTATTTCCAAAAGATTCAAAATGACAGAATAAAATTCTCTCCTTTAAGAGCACAAAAACGACTTCTGTTTTCTGTCTGCAGGTAGTGGAGGACATGTTAGAGGACGAGGAAGAAGAAGATGACAAAGATGACAAGGTAATTATCTTTCCCAGCACTTGGGTGCCTGGGGATGAGGGAATGGAGACATGACACTGTTTTCACAGACAGTTAAAAAAGGAGTTGAAGTGTTTGAGTTCAGAAAATTGGACAGTGCTGTTTATCATCCTAACAATGTCACTGCATGTTGCAAAGAGGGAGAGAGGGCTATAAATTCTCTTCGCTTTTGTCCAGAGCTGGGTCAAATATTTTTCTGCTAGGAAATATATATATATATATATATATATATATATATATATATATATATGTGTGTGTGTGTATATATATATATATATATATATATATAATTTTAGCTTGTCTGGAACTTGATAGCTCTCATGAAGATAACTGCAGTGACAACTGTTTTTGAAGGGCAAAATATGTGTCCTATCTTGAGTATTACAAATTGGTCTATACTTTGAAGGAAGAGGGGAGTGAAAAGGTAGCCGTCTGCATGAGTTGAACCATGGATACTGTCATGAGTAATTTTTGAAGAACAGCCCAGTGAAAGAACATGAGTATGGGGGCATTTAAATAACCCCAATGCTCATTGTCCCTGCCTACCTTGGGAGTGGCCCCAGGTACCTCATCAGGAAGGTCCTTGTTCAGAGAAGCTTATATTTTGATTGCTTCTTGGTTTAGGGGTGGTGACCACAGTAAATAACAGCCCATTTCTGTGGCTATTTGGATTGGTTGTCCCTGGGGAAAGAAGGCAAGGAAGATGAATTAGAAGGACTTTGTATCAGGGCAGCAGTGGGTGGTGGTGACAGAGCTGCTTTCTGTGGCAAGGAGGGCTGAAATGCTGTGACATCATGACTTCTGAGCATTTATAGAACTAAAATCTAAACATTCCTAAGGTGTCATCAGGAAGCAGAGGAGAGGATATTAATTATTTGCACATTGTTCGATATATTAAACCCGATTTCGACCTTCCCTACAATCTGACATTTTGTTATACTAAAGCAATGAAAAAAAAATGTTGAAGAGAACAACAGTATATCTGTTATATCCCAGAGTAAGAATTCATATTGCATTCAAATTTTTAAAAAATCACAATGACTAGTTAACCTCATAAACAATTTTTTCCTAAAAATAAGTTCTTGAAGGCAAAATGCAAACACACTTTTTCCTTCTAATGCTATTTCAAACACTTTTTAAATTGATAGAGCTCTTATGTGAATTTTTTCTTCTGTATATTATTTAGTCATTAGCAACATCATCAAATATAAAACTAAAAAAATGTCCTTCCTGCAAAAAAACACATATGTGCTTGTTTTTTAATGTTAAATAACATGAGCATACTCTTCTGGCAATAAATGATATGATTTATTGTTAAGGTCAGTTGTAGAGCTGTAGAGAGCTTGTATTTTAACTCAACATGTCAGTTTTGAATCATCATTTCTCTGCTGATAAACACTGAGCTGCCATCCATTTATGGCCATTTTCCCATGCTTGTTGCTGCTTTATTATTAAAGCTACCATAAAGATCCATCCCAGCAGCAGGCATTTGCCCAGAAATGTTAATAAATGGAAACCCTTGGTGAAGTCTACTACTTCAATGTCCCTGCCTCAAGTAAACCTCTATTTTAGAGCCAGTTTGTTGATGCTATTCTATTCCTTTCATCTTCCCTTTTTTTTTGGTCAGTTTTGTTTTAATAGAAAGGATGTTAGGCATGGGAATCAAATACATGCCTAGATAACCAGCTCACCATAACATAGACATCAAGTGAACATGCCAAAATGGAAATACCACCAAATCTCTAGAGTAGCATCTATTGTAATCAAGTGTTTGTTTGTCTGAAATTGAAACCCTGGTTCTAACACATTGTCAGATCTAGTTACCAAAGTTGACTGAAGGTAGATGCTTAAATTACTGTGTGAATTCAACTGGATTCATCTATACAGGATGCTGACTATGAAAGAATTGTGAAAGAACTGCAAGCTGATTCTGCATAAATCCAACTCTGTATTTGAATGCTATATATATTATAAACATATACATTAAATAAATATATAATATATATTGAACTCATAATGGAATTGATAGCATGAAAATGTCTGAACAAAAAATCTCAAATGCAACAAAATACAATAGATTTTTAAATTCTTGCATAATAGTGGAAAAGATAGAGTAGATGTCTTGAAATGCAGTTTTCACTCAAGAGATGGAAATATGCCTGTTTCCATTTACCAGCTTGTGTCTCTGGGCTGCCTCTCACAGCAGTAAAAGCTGTAAGCCTTAGCTATCAGTGTGTCTAAATGCAAGAAGGGTAATTTCCTACTTTAAAAAAATTCATTGGTTCCTCTATTTAAAGTTTGTGTGTAGAGTCATGCATAATGGAATTTCATGAGAAAACAAATGTGTTTTCTTGCCATATGAACAGGTACTAACCTCTAGCTCTCATTATTTCTCTGTTTTCTCATATGGTATAATAGTAGGGTCAGGTCAGTGGGTCTTCTTATAGGATAAAAGTAAAAAAGATTAATAAATGTGCCAAAGCCTCACTTTAATTGAACCTGAAGCACATGTTGCAAGTATGTAAAATATGTCCCAGATGTTTCACCAGGGCTAGTGTCTTGGCTTTCCCTGATTACCACCAGGCAGCTATTAGTCCTATAACCTTTGGACTTGGGGGTAAATGGGGTATTACGTGGCACAGAATGAGAGCACCTGTTTTCCATTCAGCAAAGACCCCTGGCAGGCTTTGCCTAAGCCCATCCATATGTTTTCACTTAGCAGATTGTTGGGCGATTATGAAAAGTGTCTTTCTTTAGAGCCAGCATTGATATTAGTCACTCACAATGAAAGGGCAGGTCATTGGCTACTTGACAAGGTCTGTGTGGGCATAAACCTTTATTTCATTTGAGCTTGAAGTGTTTTTGATAATTATATGCATGGAAAAGATGAAGATCATAATTACTTCACAGAATAACTTGGTAATAGGTTTTCTTTATGGACCTTAGCAGCTGGGAAGACTGGTTTTAAAGTTGGTAAAGGCTAAATCATACATGGGTCTACCTCGTTCTTGTATCTTTTCATATTATGGCTTTGTATTTTTTTTTTGTAATTGAGTTCCACATTTTATTAAAAGAGCTTATCAATACTCAGGTGAGAGTTTGTGAGGCCATAGATTTGTATTTCATTCTAAAACATATTGCTCACATTTTCTATAAAATAAAATTAGGTGGATTCTCTCTTAATCCAATCCCATGGGTTTTACAAAGGCAGAGAATGAGTTTTAAGTAAGGAGTTCTGGTTATGATTCATCAACTTGTTAATATTTTCGTTTGCCTGCATTATATAGTAGCACTATGTTAATTTAGGTTGGCGATGACATTCTTTTTTCTGAGTTAAGTGTTGGAAAGACATCATACTGTGTTCTCCATTCCCTTTGTTGTAAAGCATTCTCTCAGTCATCAACCACAAAGTCACAGTTTGACCTGATTTTTTGACCTGACATCAAATTCCACCTTTGTGGCTAATGGAATGTCTAAGCAAATAAAGCTTAACTAAATTGCCTAGGTGCAGTTATCAACAAGCCATATAACAGTGTTTTTCACCATGTTATATATCATAATAAGGTGGTTAATCTGCATAATCTTGACATCTAATTAATGAAGATCAGTCTTCCTTTTGTGGTTTAAAAAGTTTAGGCATGCTTCCCATGGTGTGTCCTACCCTACCCTTGTAATAAGATCCAGCTGCAGTCTCAGGAAGCAGAAACAGAATGCAGGTTTCCCTCAGGACAAGCAGGAATTCAAATGCATGGCATTCTAGTAATGTTTATTGATAAAAGATATTAAAATGTTCAGGCATTTATGCTTACATTGCTTCTCCTTTTTTTTCAACTGTTATGTCAAGGTTACTGTGTTTCAAGATAACCAAATGCAATGAATAGAACATATCTGAGTAACTTCAAAATCTACACATTGTTTGCTTTAATTCTTAAAATCTGTACTTTCTGGTTTCTGTGAACCAAACATGTACCTAAGATTCATACATCTCTACGTCTTAAATCAACTGTAGGAGTTGGCACAGAGAAAGATAATTCTAAGTGTTACAAGAGATGTTAATCTGACCAAATTGCCTTTTCCAGTTCCTCTCAGTGAAATCAGTGTATGATCAGGAAATAGATAAAGGCTTTGGAGAAAGGTGAGGTTAAAGGAAACAAAAATGTGTGTGTGTGTGTGTGTGTGTGTGTGTGTGTGTGTGTGTGTGTGTGTTAGTACTAGGCTTGAACTTATGGCTTCTTGTTCTTTCTTGGCTCTTTTGCTCAAGGCTAGAGCTCTGCCAGGTTTTTTATTGTTGTTGTTTTTGGTTTTCCTCCACTTCTAGATTTTTGCTGGTTAATTGGAAATAAGAGTCTCCAAGTAGCCGGGTGCTGATGACTTACACCTGTAATCCTAGCTATTCAGGAGGCTGAGATCTGAGGATCACAGTTCAAAGCCAGCCAAGGCAGGAAAGTCCATGAGACTCTTATCTCCAATTAACCACCAAAAAACTGGCAATGGTGCTGTGGCTCAAGTGGTAGAGCGCTTGCCTTGAGCTGAAGAGCTCAGGGACAGTGCCCAGGCCCAGAATTCAAGCCCCATGACCACCACCACCAACAACCAAAAAAAAGTCTCCAGGTTCTAGCTGCTTCCACTAGCCTCAGACCATGGTGCTCAGATCTCAGCCTCCTAAATAGTTAGGATTACAATCATGAGCCACCAGCATCCAGACCATATATATCAATCTGAGGCTACTTTTAACTGGAATACCCCTGTGTTCATTTATACATTTCCTAGCACTATATAACACAACTTACCACAAACCTAGAGATGTAAAATTCACTAGTTGATTTCAGCTGTCTTTCAGTAGGTAAGAAGTATGGGCATAGTGAGCTGTGTTCTCTGCTCCCCCTAAAGAATTAGTCAGGTTGAGTTTTCATCTAGAGGCCTAAGAGAAAAACTGTTTTCAAGTTCATTAAGGTTGTTAGTAGAATTCAGTTTCAGCCCTC